CTTGTTTATAAATTAAAGTGCAAATCATTCTGATAGCTATAAAATGGCAACCTTTTGTCCTTTTGGTTTCCATGATACATATTAAAATGCATGTGTTTGTTATTTTCATATTCAAATGCAAGGACAGTACTATTCCCAAAAGAGACTTATTTTTACAAATCGTAAACAGTATTGTATTGAAAAAAGAAAATTTATAAATCAAATGAGAATGTATCATAAAGCCACTTTTTCAGCCCCTGAATTCAATTCTCGAAAAAATATATAAATCTATTATATAAAATCTTTTAGTCTATCACAAGATAACAGTTTATCAGATGTAGTATCTTTTATTTTCTCATGTTTACATATTCCCTCTAGGGATTTAAAATTTATGTATTTACTACAAATTGCAATAGCTGCCAAAATAGACTGATTGTTAAATCTTTATAGATCTTGACAGGGATCTCTAGATTTGAGACAATGTCTTATCAAAAGAGAGAAAAAAAAATTTTGCAACAAGATGTCAAATCTGTTCACCGATTAACCGATTTGAATTCAATTAACACAGATGAAACGAATACATGCGAATTTAAATTAATTCGAACATCCTGACTGTCAGAAATATGCCATACGTTACAATAATTCCGTTTACCTAATTGTTATTACAAATGTACTCAAATATCATTTATCTTGAAACTAGTTTTCCCACCATAAACGTTAGAACAACTTCCATGGTCATGCGATGAGAGTTATTTATTTCCTTGTCATTAGACGGATATTTGATATATATTTTGTCACATCGGCAATAATACCACATCTCCTTATTTTTTTGTAATGTACTGTCAAACATTCCATCGAAGTGGAAGTGGAAAACTTGTATGATCTTTGTTAATTTTATTTTGATTTTCTACCACTGCTGTTAGTTAATTGTTAGCGAGGGTATTATCTGTCTAGTAGTTAATCTAAAGGCGATGACCATGAACTATAACGAGGTTATTAAGATTGAAAATTGTACATTAACAAAAGTTACAACTGCTTTAAGAAAATTAGGACTTACGTTTTCCCCCTCTTTCTGTAGACACTTCCCTATGGACCCTTATTTGAGATGCATGAGGGATTCCGATGAGGAATAGTACAGAAAAGAGGTTCGAACGCGGGTAAAAACAAACAATGTTTAAGTTTGCTGTTCATGTCTTTGCTAGATTTTGGCTAATCATATAACAAATAAAGTTTTCTGGTTGCATAACAACTTGTCTGATTTTTACTGAAATTGTCTAATGCATAGCCATAAAATCTGAAAAAAATGGTTCCCCCAATTTCCAATTCCTTGTTTATCAGTTTATACCTGGCCTAATGACATTTTAAATATTCATATTTATAGTTTCAAATCGATTTTTAAAATTGAAACATCAAATAGTAATCGGATGCTTCCCTTGAAGCTTGAAGTTAATTTCATCTATATTAAACAATGCATATCCTTAATGAACCCCTAATGTAAACAACGAGAAAACTACAGTATCAACTATGTGTTTTACCTGCAGCAAGTAGTTGTAAAAAGTAAAATAACAAACATACCAAACTCGAAGGAAATTCAAAACGAAAGTCCTTTATCAAATGGCAAAATCAAAAGCTCAAACACATCAAACGAATGGAAAAAAACTGTCGTATTCCTGTAAATTTTTCTATGAGCATTTGAAGGAATTTTTTGAAAGTCTACATTAGATTTATCAACATTGTAATTATAATTTGTATAGTTTCTGATATTCAAATTAAGATCTTTGTGGGTGAACACAACGTATGCTAATCTGTAAGTTTCTAAGAAAAATTTGGAAGTACATTAAATGCTCCTCATATCCATACGAACAAATAATTTTGATTCTTTACTTTTGTATTTAAGCAATTGTCATCATGCCAATTCGTTGATAATAATATTTGAGACACTGATCAAACAACTTACAAAAGGAATTTGAAATCTCTAAAGATATCAACAAGCAATCAAAGGACGTATTTCGAGGAATAGGCATTGTCATGGTCAAAGGAACTATTCGTACAACAATGCACAGAAAACTAAAGATTGAAAACCATTCACTCCCGAGGTGAGTTCAGATGGTCAACATATTAAGTGATAAACTTTATAAGTAGAATTGAGAGGCTGTTATATATTAAATATCATTTTCCGTCTAATTGTTTCCTGTTACTATAGTAATTGTAAATGAAGACATAAATACTATTTAGTTATATTAAACAATTGCAGTTCACCTTAAATATTCTATTAACTTAAAAAAGAACAAGTCATACATCTGTCTAATAATTCCATCTAAATAAAAATAAGTATATTGATAAATTCAAAAATAATCTTACTTTCCGCTTTTAAAACCTTTATGGCTGTGATGTGTTCTAAAATTGCATCACGAAATAGACGATATAGAACGTTAATTGATTGTTTTATTGATTATGACGTCATACAATCAGTATTATGGTTTCTGAGTTTGATTGAGTTCACGAAAGTTAATTAATGAACTAGTCGACGTTTCCAAACTTTTTAAGCCTAACAAATTTGATGACAGTACAGTAAAGTCAATTTCAAACGGTCTAAAAGTCATACCAAACACTCGAAGCTGATCTTCATATATGGAACAAGTCTCTGTCTTATACCCGTTGTAGATTTAAAGATAAAAAAGAAAACTGATAAAAGTGGGTGGCAAATTGTAATTTAAGAGTCGGTTGTTGATTTTATTCATATGACTTATTTGTAAGCCCTGCGTTGCTGATCAATTTTGGTTGTTAAAAATATTCGTAAATCTAATGCTTTAAGATGTTTGTAAAACACACGTCATTTAAGTCACTAACTTATATTAGGAGTAACCGATTAACTGAAAAAATGTTGTCTCATGTATAACTAATTTGAAGATATTATCATACTGTAGTATAGCCAGAAACACAAAAAGCTAAATAAAAATGTATCTTAATGACAGTAACTCCTATAGGAGTCGACTCACGATTTCAGTCATTATAGTTCCATTTGGTCAATAACTTTTGGAGAAGATTTTTGTAAACAGTATAGGATGAAAACAAACGACGAAAGGCGACAGACGCCAAGTGATGGCAACAGTTCACACGGGCCTTTTGGATATATGTTACATGCAAATGTAAGCTTGATATATCTCACTTAAAAAACAAAAACTTAGTAAATGCAATGTGACACATAATAAAAACAGCTAAAATTGAGAATGGAAATGGGGAATGTGTCAAAGAGACAACAACCCGACCATAGAGTAGACAACAGCCGAAGGCCACCAATGGGTCTTCAATGCAGCGAGAAACTCCCGCACCCGGAGGCGTCCTTCAGCTGGCCCCTAAACAAATATGTATACTAGTTCAGTGATAATGGACGTCATACTAAACTCCAAATTATACACAAGAAACTAAAATAAAAAATGATACAAGACTAACAAAGGCCAGAGGCTCCTGACTTGGGACAGGCGCAAAAATGCGGCGGGGTTAAACATGTTTTTTGAGATCTCAACCCTCCCCTATACCTCTAGCCAATGTAGAAAAAACAAACGCACAACAGTACGCACAGTAAAACTCAGTTTAAGAGAAGTCCGAGTCCGATATCAGAATAGGAAACAAAAGAAAATAAACAAAATGACAATAATACATAAATAAAAACAGACTACTAGCAGTTACTGACATGCCAGCTCCAGACCTCAATTAAACTGATTGAAAGATTATGTCTTCATCATATGAATATCAGGCACAATCCCTCCTGTTAGGGGTTTAGTATTATACCATCATAAAATATATGAGAAGAACATAACCCGTGTCATGCCAACAACTGGTTTTAGAATAAATATGTTTAATTCCGATGCAAAGACCCTATAAGTGAATCAATATTAAAGTCAAAATATGCAATCTTTAATGACCTGACAACAGTATCGTAACTATATCCCTTCTTAATAAGTCTGTTTAAAGGTTTTGTTAGAATACAAGTATATATAAGGTTCTTAAAACTGTTTCGGTATACAACCCTAATTGCTTGAAGTAAATCAAACCAAACCCTACAACACAGTTCAAACTCATACACTCCATAATACATGTGTTATAATCACTATGTCTAATTAAGTTTTAATCTAAAATGCCTATCCAATAACAAGCTATTCCTATTTTTTTCTTGTAGCTTGACAGTAAAAACAAGTTTTACTGAAATACGAGAAACAAAGTGTCATTATAACAAAACTCATGAGAACTTAACACCGTCTGATGAACCCATACACGTTCTCACAATCACCTCACATTAATCATTTTTAGCAATATATTCTAATTTACAGTCAAATTAATCAGAAACTAGATCACAAGTTGTTAGGTTATGCCCGGTCAAGGTTTCTTGCTTGGGAAAGGAATGATAGAATGTTGAAAGTGCGTTAATTATTATTGGGTTGTGTCAATAAACAAGTATACTTTAAAATAAAGCGATATTGAATATTTAATCAAAAGACAATAAATGTACAAATCATCATAGCCTTTATCTAAAGTGTTAGACGCTATTAAAATTACAGGGTGTCCATTTCTGTTTAGATATTACAAGAATTAGTGACATAACTATAATGAAATAATTTCTTCCAAACAGAACACATGCTGTAATTATTGTATGCAGCTCATATTTTTTTAAATACTTACCATATTATCTGCTTAAGCTTATGTCTATACTTTAAGATACAGAAATCTTATTAGAGGAATTCGTCAATCCAAAATGTAATAGAATCATCCTATTTCTTATGACATACGATCGGTACTTGATACATGCAGAGCGATATTTGATGATATTTTTATGACATCTCATTCAAAATAATAGTAAGACATGTGTCAGTAAATTAATGAATTTTATAGAAATTTCAGGAATATTTCTTGAATATTATAGCCTGTATTACCTTTTACTGTTTGCTTTATTAAAAAAATGCGTTCCAATCAATAACTTTTGAAAATGTGAAAGAAGGAATTTTATATTATAATCAACTTACCAATTTGTTCACATCTTCAAGATTTTTTAATGCAACACGGATAAATTGGCACACGTCTGAAAAAATTTAAATATACGTAAATACAACAATACTTTTATTTATATAACACAGATATTAGGAACCACATGTGATTAGCAGGAAAGACAATTTTAGTAACAAATAATATTTCCTTCAGAAATTAAACTGGAAAATCTGTCGGTTGTTTTGATTTCTATCTCTAAATATTATTAGCAGATACTTGTAAAGAACGAGTTCTAATGGGACAAGGGAGAATGAAGAATAACTTTAACATGGAGTGAGTATCAACCAAGCAAAATGCAAAACCATATAGTTTGTTCCCATACTAACTTATCGAATTAACGGCTAACCATGCTGGATTAACAAAAAGAACTAAACACATTTGAAATTAAATTAATGGAACCAATCGTCCATATCAAGATGAAATAATATCAATACATTTATAAAACTGAATCGCCTATTCGTGTTTGCAAATTTAATTATTATGGTAAAGAAAGGTCCCAAATATACTTGATGCACAGAGGACTATTTACAAGTATCCGGAGTTTTAAAATTTACAAGAAGTAACAAAAAAGAAAAAAAAGAAGATATTTCATCAAAAACTTGAATTTATCTTAAGCTGTCATAAGTGAAAGAAACAGTACGTTAGTTATGTTAAATTAATTAATGTTCTATGTACTGTAATTATGAAATATCTTAAAGCGAAATCATTACGGTAAGAATTTTCTTATCACCTTAGTCTTATAGTTTTGTTTAAAATTGAACTTTAAGTTGCCTTGATTGTATGGGTTCATTTTTGCGTTTCAAATATAAATACTTATATGATGATGTGCATGCTTTTGATTGATTGTCATAATGAACAACAATATGATACAACCAATATACCAGAAAAGAATGCAAAGGGTTAAAAAAATAAGGACGGAGGTTCATAATTTTCCAAAGCAATTTCTACAAACAAGATAATTAATAATATTAAAACGAAATGAATTGTGACAAATTGGGAACATACTAGGAATATTGTTCCTGACAGACTGACTTTGAAGAAAGTTTACTGAAATCACTTCATAAAATTAGTTGGAAAACTGTTTTTAAAAAAAAAGTACTCGTATCCGTGCTTACTGAACATCAGTGTATATCAAAAATAAATGTGAAGGACCACTTTTATCTTGAATATTGTATAATAAATTTTCAAGAAACGTAAAGAGAACTTATAAGCTTACTGGCGTGATAATCCGTTCAATATTTTTATTTATTATTTCAATTTTTAATTTTTTAATAATTTATATTCTTGTGTAAAATTATAAAATTTTGACGAAAAGAAAAGCATTCCCTAAATTTAATAACCTTAAGCTTACAAATTCACCACGTGTCCATTGGTAGAAATGTAAACTGCCGGAATTGTTGACGCTTTTCACCGTATACTTTAAGTAATTTCATTTTTTTTTATGTTTTAAAAACGTTAATGCGAATTGTTATTACAATTATTCTAATTCAACGCCTGAATCTGAATTCAAGTCAGGTGATAATTATCATTGAACAAGCTGAATTAAAGAGGAAGTGTTACAATTTGTGTTCCCTAGAATTGCTTAAAGTATGAAATCGACCCCTTAGCTTCTTAACGAAAATAATTCCCCTCTTGGCTTTTCAAAAGTATAAAACGAGGAAAATAGAAAAAAGTAAGGGGACGTAAGTAAGATGATTATTAGACCCGATTCAATAATCATCCATTCTTGAATATAAAAAGAGAGAAGACAGATACCAATGGGACATCCAAACTCATTTGTCGAAAACAACCTGATAACGTCATGGCCAAAAACGAAAAACGACGAAAAGAAAAACAACAGTACACAAAACACAACACGAGAACTTAAGACTGAGCAACACGAACCCCATCAAAAACCGGGTGATCTCAAGTGATTCGGAAGGGTAAGCAGTTCCTGCTCCACATGTGGCACCCGTTGTTGTGCTCATTTCATTACAATCAAGGTGATAAGACTAATTCGGTAAGTCCCATTCGAGGAAAAGGGATGGAGTTGTGGTTACGACAATTGGAACATATCCGTCTTCATCTGTGAAATTTATTTAGAAACCGTAGCATTAATGGTTGTATGTGAAATCATTCTATGCAAATACACTTGTAATGCGGTATTCTTGTTTGAATCTTGGAATATAGATTGTAAATTACACACTGCTTTTGTTTGTTTGTTTAGATCCTAGAAACTGAAGGTTTGTAAAAATTTTTGAAAAAGTAAAACACTTTTAACTTGCATAAACTTCTTGATAAAGGAATGAGTTATTGACAATTCACTTGGTAACTCAACTTATACCACAACAACAAAGAGGAAATTCATTTTAGGTGTGTAAAATGTTCCTTTGGTATTCTAACCAATGACGAAGGACTGGATCTTCCTTCATTTTCTTTGCTACGTAAATTACATAAGTGTCTTTTCAACGTTATATTGCTGGGTCTCCATGAAACATCTTTCTTAACTAACTGCTAGCACTCTCAGATCTGTACTTAGTGTATTTTTTGTTGTTGTGAGGATGTATTAGTGCCCTGCCACGTCCGGTTTGTGTATTTGTTAGATGTATTTCTGCTTCGTATCGATCTGACGAGTTAAGCCCTTTTCAACTGATTTTTTATAGTTTGTTCTTATGTTGTACTGTAACACAACTGTCCTAGGTTAGGGGGAGGGTTGGCGCATTCAAACTGGTTTAACCCCGACAAATTCAGTATGTGCCTGTTCCATGTCAGGAGCCTGTGATTCAGTGGTTGTCGTTTATTGCTGTATATCATATTTGTTTTTCATTCATTATTTTGTACTGGACCGTTAGTTTTCTCGCTTTACATATGTCATTTCGGAGCCTTTTAGAGCTGACTATGCGGTATGGGTTCTGCTCATTTTTGAAGGCCGTACGGTGACCTATATTTGTTAATTTCTATGTCATTTGTTCTCTTGTGGAGAGTTGTTTCATTGCCAATCATACCACATCTTCTTATTGTTATATCACCATCAATTTTATCGGTGAAACTAGCTATGCCATGGGTGTGAATCAGAAGTGGACACTTTAGAATTCTAAAGATTTGTTAGAGTACCTACAATCTTAGTCTCCTTCCTTCAATGGAATAATATAAAAATATTTGACTTCTCTACCTTTTACACAAGTATTCCCATGTCAAGTTTAAAGACAAATTAAAAGAATTACTTTGTTTAAAAAAAAAAAAAAAAGAAAAGAAAAAAAAAATGGCCAACGTAGATACAAATATCTTATTTAAGAAAGTAACAAATCATACTTTGTACAAAATCTCTCTGATTAAGAAAAAAACATAATCTGAAACTGATTGCCGCCTACTAGGGAGCTATAAAACAAAGGGTACCAAGTGGTGAAGTTGAAGTCATCCTTTCGAAGAAACTTTTACGGACGCATCACGAGTTGGTTGACCGTGACTGAATATCTGTTTCACAAATAACGACGCATATGTTCCAATTGGCATAACCATAATCCCGTACTCTTTTCCCCAAATGTGACATCACTGACCTATCGCCAAAAATGTACTTACATGAACGCCACGATGGATGCCACATGTGGAGTAGGATCTGCTTACCCTATCGAATCACCTGAAACCCCCCGCCACATCGATCCGTATTATGTTACACATTGCCAATTATTGTCAGTTTATCTTCAAGCTCAGAATTTGTGGTATAAGTATAATATCAGAAGCTGGCTAAAATTAACCATAACACGATACTATAAAGAAATGAAATAAGGTCAAGTGAAGAGTGTGTCATCATGAAAGTCAATGCACAAATCACTGTTTGATTACGATGGCATGTTTTATGGAAACTTTATAGATGCTCATTCTAGCGGACAAAGCGTAATACATTTGACGTTTCATTTAGTGAAATGAGCAGTTATTTTTTTTTTAAAAGAATTGACTTACCATTATCCAAAAACTACGATATTCTAAGGCTTGAGTTTCCTATTATGATTTATTTTACAAGGTACCAATTGAACCAAGTGTTCTTAATAGTAAAGTTGAAGTTATCTTTTTGTCAGTTTTAACAGAGCCATCCTAATAAATTTGATGAGTCATAGAAATTGTCTTTTACTAGTACTTGAAAATGTGTGACAGTCTGCCGACACGAGACATTTGATTAAACGCCCTTATTCCGACAATATGTATTTTCGCATCCTGCAAACCTAAACAGATGTATCCCATAAAGGATGGACCTTATTGCAGGATAAAAAAGTCCTAGATGACCGTTTTTATCTATTACAAAAGTCTGCTTTTAAAAATGCAATAATAATACACGTGTCTATTAAGTTCGGTGTCAACTTCAAAAGAAAATGAAGTAAAAAAAAGAAGAAACGCTTCTCTCTGTACCATGTGATAGGTACAAGAAAAACAATTATATAGAAGTGACAAAACCAGCTAAAAAACCTGTCATAACTTCACTAAAAGTGCACTTCAGTTCACTCTAAGCCCGTTATGAGTAAACATCGAACCAAATTAAATTTTACCGAAGGGTACTTAACTTCTAGTGTATTAAACTGTCCAAATTTAAAGCGTTACTTGGTCATCCCAATCACAATTCCCTTGTTAAGTTCTTTGGTTTTGTTTAAAAAGCATACGTTTTCAGCTTTTCTAAAAAAATATGTCTATATTTAGATTTAATTACTGATGATTTATATGTGAATTTTTATAGACGACGACATCGCATGACTTTCTATAATAATTCATATGTTCTTTTCCCTTTTATTGCCAGCCTAACTGGTAAATAAAGAGCTGCATTGTAGCCATGTAGACTTGTCAATCTTTGATAAACTATATCCGTAAAAATATTTAAAAAGATGCACTGATAGTGCAAAGTTTTGAAAGAATATTAATAACGGTAAAATTCAAATAATAACTAGGAGGTACCGAAACCAAATATTTTTGTTTGGGTTCAACTTTCTAAAATAAAATAAAAATAAAACTGACTTTTAAGTTGACTTTGAAAAAACTAAAATATAATTGCAAAGTCATGGGGTATAA